AATCCTTCGTTCCCAAACTCGGTTGAATCACATCGACAGACCGACCAGCTGGTTGATCGGTGGATGCTTTTGGGTGATGACGGACTGACCCATCAGGGTTTGACAGGGAGGAGGTGACGTGGGGTGATGGGGAGGAGGTGACTCTTGGCCGATTTCTCTCATCAACCGAGGAATGGGAGGAACATACGGACATGAAGGGACACAGCTGACGGCTGGTCAGACAAGGAGGCCACAACAGATTCAGCTCTGAGGTGTTTTAAAACGTGATCACCCAAGAACGTTAAGTAAGAATCCTCCAAGTGACTTAAGTGTGCTAAGTTTGATGTTGTTCATTGCAACTGAGGACAACCTGGGCACACCATCTTTTTTTTAATGTATGTTTATAATTCTTGGCTAGCATATGATAGCATTGATGATTGTTCACAAACGACAATTGACCCGTGAAGCGTCGGAAAGTTACGTATTCTATTTGCTTGACTATCCCAAAGGGAAGCTGGTTCCCAAAATATCCCAAGTTTCAAGCAGAGGCTTTGTGTACGTTGAACATGGTTCACACATCTTCAGGGAAGAAAGACACTTGATGCTGCCGCTAAGCCAGTGCACGTCGTCCGTAGGCTCAGTTGTGTCCTAGTTGCCACTGATCCAAATCCAGAAGTCCAGAAACACGGACCATCATCCGAGCGACCATGGTATGTAACCATCCAACTCAAACTTGCATACACTGCATACACTGAATCAAGCCTAGTCACCTCCTAAACAAGCTTGTACAGACAACATCTCTACCCGAGCCATGTCCAAGCTTGACACTACGTCCACTTCTTCGAAGAGCTCTATAGCCAGCATCGCTTTAGTGGCAATTATCAAGCATCAGATCGTGTTCTCGAGTGATTCAAAGCGTTGAAAGGGAGCTCCGAGTATATGTGTTCTAGGTTTCTTTTGTGGGGTGGTTCGGACACCCAAATCCCTGAGACTCAGAGGGGTTTGCTCAACGCAGTGCAGCGCCAGCGCCATCGTGACACCATGCCCGGCCCTGCCGATCGGGCGGTGCCATGCCCGCTGTGTAACGAGAAGTTCTTCCCGGCGGGGGAGCAGCGGGAGAGGGAGGGGGCAACGGGAGCACCGGGGCGGGAAGAAGGATTGGAGGGCCTGGTGAAGGGCGGCGGATCAGGTGATTTTGTTTGGTTTCATTTGGCATTTTCCCGAACTGGGGTAGATTCCCTTGGATTGAGTCAGTCGTTCTCTTCATGATTGCCCCCTTCCACATTCCAGATCATGACTAATTAGCAGGCACTGAACAAGAATTGCCGAAGAGAGATCCCTTGCAGGGTGGTCTTCCACAAGTATAGTTGCTTCTTCCCTTGTGACATGATGGAATTGCATCCAAAGTGGCTTTAGTCCTGTGACATGCCTTTTTTGCCCATGTGAATGTGAACGTATACAGGACTCAGACTGCAGTCTGACAGCCTACGTCAGATACGACCTCAGCAAACCCAGCGACTGAAGAATCGCTCCGAACTTGTTTGGGATGTGCTTCAATCAATCTGCGACGCGTCTCGAATGTACCCTGTTCCTTCAGTCAGCCGAATACCTTCTCCAATGGATCTTTGGAGCACTGGAGATATTTTCCACATGGATGCCATGAATGTTTCTATCCTCTCCATGACTACCACTATGGATGGTTCAAGGCTGGATAACAGCAGTTTCACCAGGCTCATCATGTTTCATGCCTTTAGACGCCTTTAGCATGTCACATGATGTGGTCACACAATGCGTACCGCGATGACTTGACTGTGGTCTTTTGGGGTGTGTTGGTCTGCGTCCTAGACCACTCGCGATGCCATGCGCCATGCCAGGCGTCCTTGAAATTCCATGTGAAGCAATGTGAGAAGAAGAGGGCGACCAGGAGCCAAACAAAGATCTAAATCTAAACATGGGAAGAGGGTCGTGGTTTTCTGCAGATAGTTTTTTTGGTTCAACCTGTAGGTAGTGGTACTAGATGCTTGATCCAACTCATCATTTCACCAATGTCTTTATCAAGTGAGTTGACACCGATCAGTGATGGTTTTCCCCAGAAACACCGAGAATGACGACCATTGGGAGAGTGATGACGACCTGGACCTCACCAGTCCGCTAAGGCTCCGCTCCGGTCCAGACGGCTCCGCGCGTGGACCATGTCTCGTGGACCATGTCGAAGACGCGTGTGCCGATGAAAACTCGATCCTGCAAAATGGTGGAAGAAACACACATCATTGGGTGATTTCGGGTGATTTCAGCCGGATTCTTTCTCAAAGGGAAGAAGTACCCAGTGCATCCCAGGTACCACTGTATGAGGAGCTAGGAATTCTAGGTCTATGGTGTTAGTATTTGAAACCACTGGTTACCAGCTATAGTGGCAACTGGATGCCGTGGGGTAGGTATACTCTGCATGAATTAGCCCTTTCTCAACCCATCCCTTTGGAGTCCTTCGATCCTATCGGCGTGGGCAGGATCGTGAATTGCCCCTACTGTCAGATCGAAGTCTCGCAGTTGATGCTCAAGGAGCACATTGCGTCCCTTAGACGCGCTTATCGTTCGTCGCTCGCGGTGTGTCGGGGTGGGGCCCAAAGCGAGAGCGAGCGAGAGAGAGAGAGAGAGAGCATTTTTTGGGGACAGACTTGGTGAGTTCCGCGCAGAGAACCCATGTGACTCCGTTCAAGTTGGGCCATATACACGGTCCAAAGACTATCCAAAGACTCTCTTACCCCGAAGTGGCCTCCGTGGGTCCTTCACACCGAGATCCTTCACACCGGACAGTCTCTTCCAGTGAGGAACAGAAAGGAAGGCCTCGTCATTGAGCAGGTTGATCTATTTTGGGGGGGCGAAAGGAAGGAGTGTGCAGGCTGATAAAGAGGCCTACAGCTTCTTTTTTGACCTGGCAAACTCATGCAAAAAGCCATGCCAACAGCTGGTGAAAGCTCGTTTTCCACACGTTTTCACTGAGGAACTGCCCCAAATGCAAGCGCCACTTGGCTGAAAGAGGGTCAACCCGTGCGCGATGGTGGAAGAGCGATTCCAGGTAGAAGACAGTTGTTTTATACAGATGCAGGAGGTCTTGGAAACCCCAGGTTCCCTATCCACAGCAGGTAGAACCAGATACCTGTATCTTTCTCACTGGCTCCTACCGTCTCCCATTTGGAGGATTTTCAAGGTCAGCAGATCGTCAGCTGGCCCTGTGTTGGCCACATGCCCTGTTGGCTGCACATGGGAAACACAGTTTTAGAATCTCTCCAGAACATGACCCCCGCTGGATAGGAACATTGAGCTGTAAAGTTTTAACTTTTAACATTCTTCCCACTGCTACATATATATATATATATTAATTACATTTGATGCACCACCCAGTAATCCATTCGACTGGAAGACTTACCCACATGATTCTCTATATACCTAGAACCCAACCAGGACCCCTGTTTTTGATCAGAAAAGACCATGCAGATGGTTAGTGGTCCAAAATAGAGGTCATTCAAGTTCTAGGTATCTATATAAGGCACCACCCCTTAGACCGCTCGTCCGATGGTTTGGGTCTCCCGTCTCCTCCACGTGGTGAGTCATAGGTCCGGGAGGTGACGGTGGCGGTGGCGGTGGTGGAGGAGGCGCCAGGCCGGAGGTGCTGTGGCGCTTATTTTTTGTTGTGCGCGTGGTATCCGAAGGGCTCGAGTGTAGAGGATTCGACCTGACGCGCCTGACGTGGATGGTGACCAAATACCTCTCCATGGTTTCGTTGTGCCAGATCTGCAAAAGGAATTGATGATGATCTTCCTGACTCTGACCCTCAGAAGTGGAAGATCTGCACCTCAGATTGGCGTGGAGGATCCATGTTCGCTCGGAAGTTCAGACTGTGACTGAAGAACCGCTCTTCCCAAGAGGGACTCAACTCCACACGCATTCCACACCTGCACAATCCTGCATGTGGGGTCAAGACCGGTTCCAGTGCCCAACAACTCACAGAACTGCGGACTGCGGTTGAAACCAGGGCAAACTCCAACCTCGACCAAGGGAACACAGTCAGGCTCGGCTCATCCATCCTTGCGGCCTGTGGAACCCCATGGCGACCCGCGACCGATGGCGCGCACTCCGATGGTCATCCGACCTCGTGAGGACGATCGGATGACCATCTGACGTCCAAGTGACGAAGTGGTTGGCTCGACGTGCGACAGATCCGAGATCTGACCGGGCCACTGATGGTTTGATATGAGCGATCCACTGGCAGACTGGTCCGGTCGCCTGAAAAGGCGACTGGGCTGTTCAAGCAAGAAACATGATATACCTGGACCGACACCAAGAGGTGCCTATAAACAGCCTCTTAGAGGTCAAGGGGTGCCCAAAAACCACCTGTTGGAAGGTCCTGTATAAGTTGAAGTTTGATGAAGTTTGCATAATGTAGACTGGTGATTAGTAACCCCCCGCATATGGATTGCAAAGCATCTCCATATCGGGGGTTATCAATCAACAGGCTACATTACCAGGCACCAGGCCTATCTTCTGTAGTCTTCAGTTGCATGTTTCAGCTTCAAGAGAGCCAGCAGCTCTTTGGCTTAAGGGCAAGATGCCTGGATTAACAAGCACACATCTTCTGAGGACAGCACGGGTTCAAAGCATCGTTCAGAACCACTGCATCCTGGACGGGACGGGAGGTGCACCCCCCCCCTTCGGACGGGCGGTGCACCCCCTGTGATCCACATGAGCCAAACGGTCGACATCTGAAAAGATGTTCACTTATCACATGCGTGGCTTCGTCCTTCTTCAGCTTTCGTCACATGGACCTCCTCTAATCACATGGACCTCCACTAGCAAACTGGATAGAGCTGGACAAGAATGAATCATTAGTTATATGCACATGGTTGGTTAGCTTTGTTATGACGACATTTGGCTCTTACAGTCTAGACCGGTTTAGACCGTGAATCCAACAGAAAAAGAGAAGCCGGCTTCCGCTGAACGCGCCGGCTTGCGCGTTCATACGCATGGATTCGTGTCATCATGGATTTGTGATTGAGGACGCGAACATGGCAGCGAACGTGACTTGATTGATAGCCTACAGCATTTCGCTATATTTACCAACAGCATGTCGGACATGTCGCCAAAAATTTCACTCCTGAAAGCAACATTTGAAGGACGTTTATATAAAAACACGATCCCTGTTTGGGTAAACTCAAAAATTGGAAACCGCGTCGCACGTTGACGTTGCAGGTTGTTTGTCCTGCAGGTGACGGAGGTGACACGCTTCACGTTCACGTGTCTTTGCCCAGTGGCCACTCCACCAGCATCTCCACAGATTCGTCGACGCGGGTCCTGGACCTCAAAACTGCTGCACAGGAAGCCTTTGGAGTGCAGTTCTTACAACTCACGTGGCTTGGTGTGGGAAATCATGGGGGAAATCAGTAGCTCAGTAGCTATTACACCATACGTGGACGTGTATTTAAAATAGGGAGGCACCCCAAAGACCCCCAGGAAGAAGATAGAAACTGATGAAACCGAAGGGTTGAGGATCTCCCTATTAAGCCACACACCCAGTTGTGGAAATTGGTCGCTTGGATCGGACGTCGTTTCTTCATACCCAAAGTGTCTCCATTGGCATTTCTAAATTATTGCGGGTGGTTTCAGACACCCACTCCCAGACCATCCATAGAATTAAGCTGCATTGACCCGTAAAGCACCTTAAAATCACCCCCGGCCCAATAATGTATGCATATAGAAGTCCCTAGAGCTCCAGCTACCTTCTGAGAAGGTGGTTGGTGTTCTAACCACCTTCTGACGATATGGGCCAGGAGCCGCTGAGGAGTATTCCAGTCCCACATGTCTCCATGTCCGGTTTGCCGACACCACCGGGACGACTCGATCACGGAGCCGATGCTGTCAGGTTCAATGGACGCCTATTGGAGGTATCTCAGCATCTGTCAGAGCTGGGCCTATCGAGTGGCGATACCTTGATGGCTACCATTGTCACTCCACAAATTGTCGCATCGGCGGGTGCCGTTGCCCTGTGCTGTGCTGGTCAGGTCGTGACTTGGGGAGAGCCGCAATGCGGGGCTGACAGTAGGATGGTCCGAGATGAGTTGAAAGATGTGCGGCAGATTGTGGCATCCCTCTCATCCTTTGCGGCTTGGTGGTGGTTTCAGATATGTTTATTCTCAACCTTTACTTGGCATGATCGAACCTACTGACCTATAAGTTACTATCACTGCCTAATATGTTTCATGCGAGAGATGAAACCAAGCCCACCAGGCAGCCATTTTAGCGGATGGCTCCGTCGTGTCGTGGGGCGATCCCAGAAGTGGTGACAGCAGCATGGTGAAAGATCAGTTGAAGAATGTGCGACAGATCTGTGCTTCTTGTAGTGCGTTTGCCGCCCTTTTGGCCGACGGGTCAGTTGTGACATGGGGTGCTCCAGAGTGTGGTGCTGATAGCAGTAAGGTCCAGGACCAGCTTCAGCATGTGCAGCAGCTCCATGCTTCTTCGAGCGCCTTCGCTGCCCTTTTGGAAGACAAATCTGTTGTGACATGGGGTTATGGTGAATGCGGTGGTGACAGCAGGAGCGTTCAGGATCAACTGAGGCAAACTAAACAGATTTGCTCCCACTATGGGCAAGATTCTTTCGCAGCAATCTTGTCTGATGGCTCTGTTGCTACATGGGGTTACCCTCCGGGTGGTGGTGACAGCAGGCGTGTCCAGCATCAACTCAAGAATGTACAGCATCTTCAAGCCTCATGGTGTGCCTTCGCAGCCATTTTGGAAAATGGATCCGTGGTCACTTGGGGCGGCAAAGATTATGGGGGCGACAGCAGTGCAGTCCAGCATCAACTGAAGAGTGGGGTCGTCGAAATCAGTGCAGCCAGCGCGGCATTTGCGGCGCTTCGGGCAGATGGGTCGGTAGTGACCTGGGGAAGTCCACAGCAAGGTGGTGACAGTAGCAGTGCCATGGAGAACAGCGCTTCGGGTGATTTCTTGATTTGCCAACAAACTGGGTAATTAGTACATCCATGAAAATCATCAAGCCTGGGGAATATGTGTTGGATTGTTTTTGTATGTTTTGTCCCCTGGATCCTGGCAGCCGCTGCTTCCAAGGTGTCCAAGATCAGCTGCAGAATGTCCAAGCGATCCAAGCGTCGTTTGGCGCCTTTGCGGCTCTGTTGAGCGACGGTTCGGTGGTCACTTGGGGTGATCCACAGGATGGAGGTGACAGCAGTGCAGTGAAACACCAGCTGAAGAAGGTCCGTTGGATCCAGGGGATCTACAAAGCCTTTGTGGCAGGTTTGAACGATGGATCTCTGGTGACCTGGGGTGATCCCAAATGTGATGCAAGTGCACTTGCAGGCCATTTTCGATTGCTTTGATCCGGAAAAAGAAGAGCGGCGGAACCTCGAGTCTCTGCAAAGGGTCGACCGAAAAACGGGGATTGACGGGTTTTCATCAATCAAGTGACTCGGTAGGTGACTCAAATGGACATGTACCCAAGCATCATCATATATATGTCCTGTCAAAGCTCATAACATCTCATAAAGTATTGATTGGTGGGCAATAGTAACTAGTATGTATCTTGATAAGGAGACACCCGATCGCCCCACTGGGTATATTGTTGCTCTGTTTTCCGGACCTTTCGGGAGGTCTCCCGAGCTTTGAGCTACAGAAAAATAGATGCAAGTGTATGCCAGAATCAATCGTTTCCTGGTTTGCTTAAGGTAATTTCATGGTTTCCCTTGGGGTAAATCCCCAAACCTGGTAAATATGAATGTTTGATCGGCTTTCGGGACAGCAAGTCCCTCAATTTGGGTCAACGTTCGCTTGGCGGTTTCGGGCTCAGAAGCGCCAACCGGTCGGTGGGTACCGGTAAAAATACCTCTCAATTCTGCTTTCGAACGGTGTTTCTTTTCGACGGCCCTTTTTTTCCAATTTACATGTTTGTGACATGTTCATGTCCCAAGTATATCCATATACGATATCCTCAAAGAAAATCAGTTGCTTTGACACCGGTGAATGGCACAGCCCATGTGGCCCTTTCGCCTCGCCCGGCCGGTTGGGCGCTGGGCAGGCGCCCCTCTGGCGAACCAGGCGCTGCCTCGTCCCGCGGGGGCGGCGGCGGCGGGCGGCCGGCGCCCACGGGTGCTGGGAGCTATGACACTGGGCGGTAGAGAGAGAGAGAGAGAGAGATAGAGAGAGGAGAGGAGGTGGAGATGTGGCAACATGTCCATTGCTTCAAAGGGACTCTTAGACCAGGTAGTTTAGGGTATTGAGGAATTTCCTCAAGGAGCTTGGGACGCAACGGAGTCCAACCGGATATCCTGTTAAGGAGAAGGGCATGGGATTTGGCAAAGCCCACACACGAGGAACGGCAGTGTTTTCCCACAGAGTGTTGGAGGGTTAGTGGAAAGGTATGAAATCCATGAAACATCAATGTGTTGAATCAATCATTCATTTTACATCATTAATGCTACTTGGAATTGACAAGACCACTCATTCTCTTTCGAAGATACTGAAACAAAGAACACCAAACACGTGTTTAGGACTATAGATACAGAAATATATCTCAAGATGAACCAGTTCTTGCTTAACGTCTTTAAGACTATATCGTCAACCGTCCGGCTACGACCGCCTGCGCCCGACGGTCTGCTGCACCGAGGAACCGGAGGTCCTGGAGGACGGACGCATGCGCTGCGTCTACTGCTGGCGCTACTTCAGCGACGAGCGCATCGAGAAGCATCAGGCGATCACGGCCGGACCTGCCACGGTGGCACGGTGTCCGAAGAACGGCTCCCAGAATGGCTTGGCAGACGATTCCAACGATTTTCCAAGCATCCGAGCCCGTGTTTCAACATGTGTTTCTATGTTCCTTTTTTTTGGCGAGCCCGTGCACGGGCGGATACGCACAAAGAAGCACGAAGTGTTTTGGGATGCTTGGGGTGGGATGGGCTGGGTGCTCCCACGATGTTGGCTTCAATCGCCCACGATGTTGGATGAACCGTTTTTTTTTGCCTGTGGTGGTAGTGACTCCCTAGTCCAAGACATGTGAGGTTAGTCAACAAAAGACTGCAGCGTAACTTACTGTACTTTAATTCAGCCAAGGGCCTCAGTGAACAAACACCAGACGGAATTTAAGGTGTTGCCGTAGTGTAGTAATAGAGGCAATAAGGCAATAAGTGTATATCAGCTTAATGAGAGCCGTTTGGAGCCGGCCGTATTGTTGTTTTTAGTCCAACAAGAATTCATCCGAAAACCCGCTGTCAAACCGAGAAACTTGGAGACGAAATCATTCCGGAGAACCCCGGTAGATCCCAAAGCTCAACAGATGTTTCACCAATGCCTCTCCTTTTGGACCCTTTTGGGGAACGCCAACTACCCTGGCTTCTCCCCCCATCATCCATCCCAAATGGAGATGGGTCGTTCAAGAACTCTGTAGTCCGACCAGTCTCTCCATGTAGCGAAAGGACCGACTCGGACTGACACGGGAAGTGTCCTGCCACCTCTTCCCTTCACATTCCTGACACCTGCAGCCGCGCCCATCCTCTTCTACCGTGCCCAGAGCATCTGTGGGAACCTCAAGAGTGCTCGGCCGAAAGGCCTGGACGGCGAGCAAACCCAGACAGGCCGGACGAGCATCGACCGTCAGTACCGGTCAAAACATGGACTCCTTTGGATTGCGATATTATAAGTGACTGATTGATTGATTGATTACGCAAGCTAGCTGATAGGCTAGGCTGAAGCTATTTTTTTGCGAACAAAGTGAGTCTTGAGGGGTCGGGAGAGAGGTGCGGAATAGAGTATGTAAACCATGTTAGCCTGCTGGTGTTTTACTTTGCACAGGAGGTGACTTTGGCGGGTTGGTGATGCAGAAGATGCAAGCACCATGGGTTAGTGCATCATTTGCATCAGCAACCTGCTCCAACGACACTGTTTAGTTTATGTGTATTGAATGTTTGGCCGAGGTTCTACTCAGACTTACTTGTTCACGCCTTTTTGGTGAAAGGCACATAGCAATTGTCCTTCTACAGGTGTAGCAGGTAGTTGCTCCTGGCTTTCATTTCCCCCTTGTCAGGTTTGTGTTTTACTTGTGATTGATTGCATGTTGTTGTTTGGGTTGTTCCTTCAAACCTAACTATCAGTTGGGAGCGAATTTAGACCAACCCTAGGTCATACATGCTTTGCAAGGTTCCACGTTCTACTGTTCTAGTTCTACTTCTACTCTTGTTTGGTGGACAACCCCGAAGTCTTTGTAGAAGGATGCCATGTAGTTCTGGTGCCATGTCATCCCCTTCCATCAAGACATTGGAGAAAGACAGCGACAGACAGACAGAGAGAGAGAGAGGGGGAGTAATACTAAGAGTCACTAAGACTTAGATCTCATTGAAAAGAGCTGGGTCTTTGAGTGCGAGCGCTGGGTCTGGATGAGTGTGTGATTTGGACAGATGCTTTCCAGTTCTTTTTGCTTTGAGTTAGCTCCTCACCAATAGCAAAGAACATCGCTTGCACGGAGGTCAATTCTCCCATTATTCAAAAAGAAGCCGGGAGATGAAAGGACCTCGACTCGGACCCCGACACCTCTCCCCCGCGCGAGGTGCTTCTCCGTCGAACGTCGTCCCGGCGCCAGGTGCCAAGGTCTTCAACGCCAAGGCAAAGCGCACCGGCACCGGACCCTCCTTCGCAGCTGGGCAGAAGCCGCAACAACGTGGGGTAGCGGAGTGACATGTGGCTTTGCATTAAACTAGGGAGACCTCCCAGGAGGCCTCCGGGAAGAAGGACATAGACCAAAACCATGCAATAACCTATTGGTTGGAGGCCTCCCTGTTAAAATAAACACACCATTGGACCATATAAGTGACTGTTGACACTCCCTATCACTCAATGGAATCGAGTTTAGCGGAGTGAACACCACCGGTGGACTGGATCGTTCTCTCCTTCGTGCTCCGAGTCCTCAGGGGACCATTGTGCCATGATATTCCGGAGTGTAAGTATTCGTATCCCTGGGATCCAGCCGTACCTTCATGAAGGGTCAACCTGACCTGTTGACGAATTCACATTTGACTGCAGATAGGGAAACAGATGCACAAAACAATCCCATACCCTAGGGATCCAAGTACCTTTCTCAGAAGATGATTGGAGACACTCTTTTGTAGGTTGGGAGGGTCCAGTCGTACCCTCTGAGAACGTATGAGGATCCCTACAGTGTGAAGACCCCGTCCAAAAACACCGCCAGTGGCCTGTGCGTAACCGCCTTCACAAGGGAGCGTGGAAGGTCGTCCCTCCTTCTAAAGGACACACTTCATAATGCTATATAGAGAGACACACAGTCAAAATGCTTTTTTTTTCTCAGTCTTTTATCACTATTCCGCGAATCCCACGTCGCACACGTACGAAAAAGAAAGCGTGGAACTGCTCAAGTTCTTGCGACCCTTCCAGACTTCCAGATAGTTCACCTAGAACTTACCAGCTTTCTTATGGAACATCCCGATCCAAATCTATTCTTGCACAATTGTCATCTTGGGGGGGGTCAAACTCACAGACCTTGCCTCATCCTCAGAGTTGAGTGTTTGGATGCTCATTTCGTTCGGAATCACCCTCAGATGACATGTTTTTTTCTCCCAACAAGGACACATCAAGATCATCATCCTTCCATGAGTGACTTGCAATTCTGGTTAAACTCCTAAGTGCCAGGGGATTGTTTTGCGCCAAGTACCATGTTCTCCAGCGCTTCAAGATCAAGAATACAGATGGATTAGAACGTGCTTTCACACAAATCTCCTGGGATTTTTCAGCACCTGAAAGAACGCTTCAGTCATTGATGTTGGTCAACATGTCCTTAAGAACAACACATACGAACACCATGTTCGACCAAGACACGTGAAAACTCTCTCTCGATCGACTTGGAAATCAGGTCTCCCCCGAGGCGTATCGACGCAAGGAGGAAGAGGAGGTTGGGCGAAAACCGTCACCCGTGCGTCGTCAGACAGACGTGCCAACCGCGTGGCGTGTCGGTGCGGCGGCAGACGAGATGCGAACCGCGGCGCCAACTGAGCGGTTGGATAGCGGTTAGGTGTACTGCAGACTGGTACCATATAGGACGATAAGATGTAAAGTATTAAATTTCAAGGTATGTTTCCCAGCATTCTCAATGTTGAGGTCCTTAGTTTCTCCCAGAAGTCGCGGCATGCCATCTCCACGCCAGGAGCGGGAGCTCCGGAGGGCGAGAGAGCAGGCGCAGAAGAAATCGCGACTGGGCAAGGAACAGGTCAGGTGCTTTGCCGAAGATGGGGTCAGGTTGATTGGTCGGCACTGGTTGGTCTGGTTGGTCGGTCTGGGGTTGGTTGGCACTGGTTGGTCTGGTTGGTTCTTTACAGGTGCGTTGGGACATGACCCCTGTGGGTGCTAAAGAGCTTGTTTTTCATCATTTTGTTTCTCTGCTCCTGCTTGACGACTTGAGGAGGTTCTTGTTGAGACGCTAACGCCGCACAGCCCAATGAATCCAGTGTTCCTGAGTGAGTGGGGCAGTAGGAAAGAGACATTGTGTATGTACCCCCAAGCAATCCATGGCAAAAGTGACCTAGATTTCACTTGTAGGGTCGTGTACTGGACAGTTTGGGTACAGAATGTGGAATCTCTTCTGAAATGCTCATGATGCACACCTAGCTGACCTAGTTCGGCTGGACATGACTAGACAAAAATCTGGTGTGAAGACCAGGTTGTGAAGACCAGGTCTAAGTGTGCCCCCTCTCAGAACTATGAGCTCAAATCCAAAAGACTCTTGATGGTCAATTGTTAAACAAACTCACACAGAACACGCACAAAAAAAAACATCACCACTTCGGATTTGAGCCAAGAGTCTTGAGAGGGGGAATGTACAGTGCTTTGAGACTAGATTGCACTGGCACCACCTAACTTGGGGTAACTCGTGCCATCTAATTACTCTGAAACCACTGCACTGTATGATTTTGAGTTCCTTTTATCAACTGACCTTTCGCTCAGGTCTTGGCGCAGACAACACGCCCCTCAGCTGTCCTCCGCGCCGACAGCGGCGGTGTGAGACGAGCGGCGTTCACGTGTAGGTGACCCCCTACAAAAGCACACTTCATGCAGCTGTTGGACGTGCCAGTAGCCTAACTACAAATACACACAAAACAATACAAAGCACATCATACTAATTTGATTCTCATGATCACTCGCGAACAACAATAGCACGATCACTGGCAAAGAGGTTCACTCCAAAAGATGATGTCGTCCAAAAAGGTTCAATCTGTTGCCCTCCGACGAAGACATCACATGTTATGTGGATGGCATGGCCCGTTGGATGACTCTTCTCCGAATACCAAACAGGTGCGCTTTTCCACTTCCATCTCAGTTTCCAAGACCCTCCAGGACCATCCAGGATCCTCGGTATGTCTATTCAGAGGTCTTCACTCAGGGTGTGGATTCCAACCACCCCTGGTCCGCCGAAACTCAGCGTGGGGCGGACGGTGACGTGGGTCGAGGAAGACCGCCCACACCCGACCGAGGAAGAGTTCGTTTCAGCCTGTCGCGCCGGTAGGGGCGAGGAGGTGCCCGGGGGGGGGATGGCGCAGAAGGGGTTTAGAGGTGCTGCTGAGCAGAAGGAGGGAATGGATTGAAAGGAATCCATGTTTGGAATCGATATTTCGGGCTCCTTCCCTCATTTCTTGCAAGTCGCACCAGTCAATTGATGAGTATCAATATTCCAGGAAAGTCGAGGAGATTTTGGAAGGCCTTTGCGGTATGGTTCTTGGTGGGGAAGTTCTGTTTTCCTTGGCGAGTTTTACTTGATGGTGAAAGTTGGTGAAGGTGTCGGTTTGTTAACATATGTAGCCAAGGACGAGCCAGGTCTTAGATATGTCGAGCTGGATTGGGAGGCATGATTTATTCAAGTCGATGGCGGTCCAAGGGCTCCGCATATCACATGTGAAACACCGGTCCTCACAGCTCACTAAGTGCTCCTCGTCAGGAGTGTTATCGGCCCGGCACCCTTGATCTCTTTGTTCTGCACCGGCTTTCCCCAAAATACACAACAAACACTCCCTGGTCCACTTGAACCATCTAGTTTTGTTCGGCGCCATCTAGTTTTGTCTTCATTCTTCACACCCAACACTGCCGGTTCCGCGATGCTACAGGTACCACCCCGGCCGGCGGACCATTCGGGCATGGCTCGGGCCACTCAGCCGGGCGCAGCAGAGGTGGACACGAGTCGAGGGGAGAGCGGAATTCAGGTCCAACGGTTGCGGCGCCGGAATTGCGCCAGGCAGAGTGTGTTTGGTTCAGTCTGAGAGTTTGTTTTTGTGTATAGTATATGTTTTAATTCCGGACTGTTTTCAAGGATGGAAGCGTGTGGTTTTACCATGTTTTACCCTAGGGTTGCGGACTGTTTTCAAGGTCTTTTTGGGGCATGGTAGGAAAGACAAGCCCAAACTCCCAAGGAATTGGTGAAAGGTCTTTGTGGGGGTATGCATGCAAATATCTTCAGTTGGTGCAGCAACGTATCTTGACAGATCTTGGCAGCATCAATGTGTAGATTGGATGAAGAGGGTGTTTAGTTGTTTTGGTTGGTCTTGAAAGAGTTCCTGAAGGCTGCTTCCGGTTTTATATTTAAGCAAAGCTGTTGGAAGACCAATCAATTCATGTCGATGTTTGCGATCGCCTAGCTGATGTTCGATCATTTTGGAATGTTTTGGACCTTTGCCACCTAGCTTCTAACGCTGAGCACGGGGACTTCTCCCCCAACCAGCCGTTCCAGCTAGTAGCTAATGATGGGATATGTACTTTCCAAGATTCTTACAGCTGAGTATGTCATAACCCATAGACTCCATGTATGCCATATATGCCGATCAGTTGGGGTGGTGCCAGGGGGGTCTGTCTGGGGCGGCAGTCCGGACTGGCAGTCGGAGTCTATGGGTCATATCTGTTCAGTGTCATGGCAGTCCGCGGTTCATCCGTGGCAGTCCGAAACCGCTGATCCGGTCCCACTCGACAGATCCAGTGCCACCACTGTGGGCGGCACTTCAACCCGGAAGCGGCGGAGCGGCATATTCCGATCTGCGCCAATGCACGGGCGCCCAGAGGTCTTGGGTCGATAGTCTGCAGAGGTACACCATATGAGGTATCACATACTCCCAGTCTTCAGAGGTTGTACACCATTTTTTGACCATGTATGAAAGAAAATATGAAACCAGCGATGCAGACCAGTCTAGAACTTGTTATACAAGTGACAGACTCTTTGCATGTGCCTGGTGTGCCTGGCTGAAGGTAGTTGACAGGTACATTCGACCACTCCTAAGGAATGCTGTTTGAGACAAAGCAAGGAATGCTGTTTGAGACAACAGGGACATTAAGCATGGCTATAGCTAGAAACATCTAGAAAATCCACAGCAAAAAAGCATCAGTGGACACAACACATCTAACCACCAATCTACAAACCGCTACATCAAAACATCTGACTCTGAGTAGTTCGATGTGTCAAACATCGTTAAACCATGTTAACACCACTACATCTAAACCAACCAGTGGACTCAGTGGACAGAAGGGTCTTTCGTCCGACCCACGTCGGGACTTGCTTCCGCCCCAGGTGGTGAACCGACCCAAGCCGCCGCCCTCCCCGGCGCGGGGGCCAGCGTCGCCTGCCAGGCTGGGTAGGTCGATCAAAGTGGATGGCACCCATGAGCCGCAGCTAGACAGGCTAGACAGGCAACACTCCATGCTACCCAGACACCCCCATGGAACTGGCTGGCTTATTTGGCACCGATGCCTTACGTGGCTGTGCGGTGGGTGATGGCACCGGGGTACCTTGGTTCAGCAGAATGGCTGTAGGTCAGATCCCAGATCCTGGCCTGGGGGGGCTGGTGCATCGACAGTTTGCGGTTTCATGAAGGTATTTTGGAGATGACAGGTGTTTCCGATGTTTGATGTTTCTAGATTCGAACGATGTCTTCGGTTGGGTATGGTTTGGTGGATCCAGGTGTTTTTTTAGATCACGTGATCTTGAAACAACGGAGTTTGGTTTTCTCAAGGCCCGGGCTGATGATTCCTTGATCTTCCCTATAGGAAAAGCCAACACCATAAAAGCAATGACCCTATACCAGCTTCGTCAGTTCGTGACCTCTTTGGAGTGCCATCCAGTGACCTTTTACAGGCCCCAACTTGTGACCTCAAACTCGGATATCAAGTTCGGTCACTTTGAAGAACCAGGTATATGGTGACGGTATAGACGGATGTGACCTTTTACTGGTGTTGCCCCCAACTTCCTTTGTTGCCCCAGTTCCTGGGAGCTGCCAAATCCAAAAAGCCTTGGCCTCAAACATTAGCAAACTCATTAATGGCATGTGAACTGATTTTCCCCGATCAACGTACGGGTCTCCCGGAAACTCGCGGAATCTCCCGGAAGACCGGCAGGGCGACCGTGCATGGCTAGGTTTGGTTTCGCGGGGGAATTCACCATCATCGCCCGTTGCCTTGATTCATTGATTCAAGACTGTGTGTGTGAAAGCTGCACAAATTCTCAAAATCAGTTCTCTTAGCCACACTCCAAACGATAGCCGCCACACTCCAAACGATAGCCAACAATTGGCACACTCCAATAATCATGGAAGTGGACGACGTGTCCTGGAAAGACCTGGGGGTTGTCCACTTCCATGTTTGTTGGAAGGAGGTTAGACCGTTCTTTTTTCTAAATTCATTGACGCCACGTCACTGCACAGGCCTCCTTCAGAAGCCGGTGGACTCAAGAGGGGGGGGGGTTCTAGCTCGAACAGGGGTTCGAATCCCTGGAAATCTGTTAGTTTCTCATTGATTTCATCTGATATTTCTCAAGAAATCTGATGTTAGTTTCTTTTTCTCATTGAAGTCCATGTTTCTCGATCTTGAAGGCACTTCCCCTTCACGATTGAAATCAACATGACGCACACTAAGCCTAGCCATGAAAGATCGACAGTGTTTCAACTATCAGTTGCCACTATACTATACAAGCATGTATAATGTTCGGTCTATATGGCGTTTAAGTCTTTTGTAGAACTGGACATACTGTTTATACCAGCTTTTCGATTTTTGGTGCTTTGCCCCGGATGAAACCGCACAGGCCTCGCCCAAAAAGCGCCGGCCTTCCGGCGGGCGCTCGCCGGCGCCCGATGCACGTGGCGGTGCCAGGGAGGCGCGCGCGGTCACGGCGTTTGAGGACGTGCCAGCTCGCCCCCATGGACCTCCTTTCAACGTTCTGAAATCAAGCCAAGGGTACTGGGCAGGCAAAGATGACATGGAGTGTTTGGGCGTTCTTTTTTTTTTCAGAGGAGTATGGTGAAGGAACTCAAATCATCTCCAGGGTGGTTTATGGTGAAGGAGGATGAAGGTCTATTGACCTCGATTCTTCTACTTCCTATAAATGTAATGTTGTGCTTTTGTTGTTCATCTTGTCATCATTCATAGACTCTGATAAACCATGTATCACTGTTGCTTGTGATGATATTGATCATGAACGATCCACAACTCATGAAACCTGGTGGTCATTTTCTGTGCAAGGGGGGTGATGACACGAGCAAAAACACATCCACCAACATCATTGCCATACATCCATCCTTTGGACAAAAACAACACACATCCACCTTCTTCTTGCAATCACCTGGACTGGCTCACTCTTGATTGCTCAGATCGTCGGATTTTTCTTGCAACCCCCCCCGCCACCACCTGCAGTCCTGAATTCACCAGGAGCTGCCCTCAGTGCGCAGCAGCTCCATGGGCTCGGTGGGCGTCTGGAGCTCGGTGCACCGGATGGGCTCGTTGGGGGGGGACTGGAGCTTTGGATCAGGTGCTGAGGTTTGGATGCAAGCAGGAGCACCCTTACTTACTGGTGCGACAAGTAAAGAATGAGGGTGGCTGGATCCGGTATCTCATTCTCTCATTCCCTACGAGTCGCATCAGTCAGTTTACATGTCGCCAGAGCTTCCAGTGGCCCAGCTCACTAGGTTTTCGTGTGGCCCAGCGGAGCGGGGAAGCGTTTCACTCGGTCCCAGGTGAGGCCATGTTCACTCGGTCAGGTGAATGGGACATTGAAAGACTTTTCACCGGATCAATCGTCCCCATGTTCGATCTCTACAAGGATCAACAGATATCAATTCCCTTGGGGTCCACATACCTTCTCAGGAGGTACTTGGGCCCTTGTGAGAAGGTACGACTGGATCCCTAGGGATTAGGTTGTTTTTTTACCACTACAACTACTCGCCACGTTGAGGAGAGTCTCACCCTAAGAAGCACAGAGCAGCCTCGCGTCGCGTGGTGGCCCTGGTGGCCCGACCTAGAGCCTGGAAGCGATCCATGGGACTCCGATCACTTGGGGGCAGTCAATGGGTTGGCCCAAAGCCATGGAGTGTCATGAAGTGTTTGGGTGATCGTAGTATCAACATCAATTAGATGCAGATATAGACTGAACAAGAGCCAAGAAAAGCATTCAGTTGGAGAAGTCTCCCGTTTTTTCAAACCCAAAACACTGGCCATGGAAGACGGTGGTCGTCAAACGATCCATGGTCCAAAACAACGAGCCATGACCATTCCCCAAGCGCCCGGGCAGCGCCCCAAGCGGAATCGCTCGCTCTCCCGAGGGCTCCGGCGCCCGCGCGGCGCGCACCTTGCGCTCCGAAGCATCGGATGGGCGTCTGCCGGGCGGCCTAGTGGGTGGAAGCGGTGTAGCGGTAGGTATAGCACCATATATAAATATAGTTGGTAGATGTTGGTAGTAGGTGGTAGGTAGGTGGTAGGTGCTAGGTGCTAGGTGGTAGGTGCTAGGTGCTAGGTGGTAGGTGTAGTAGTAGTAGTAGTAGTAGTAGTAGTAGTAGTCGTCGTGGTGGTGGTGGTGGTGGTGGTGGTGGTGGTGGTTGGCGTGATGCAGACCTCCACCATGGCACCTTCAGCAACGCCGCCAGGCCAAAGGTGGACTCGAGCCAAGGCGAGTGCATTGGGTTTGGTTGGGGTCACGATATTGACGGGATTTGTTGGTCAAAGTCCCTCTGGTCACGTCATCCCCGTTTGGCGGGATTTGTTGGCGTCCTCTACGTGGAAGGTGTCGGATTTCTGAGATGATGTTCCAAGCACGCTATAGTACACTATAGATAGGGTTTGGGAAAGGCGTTGGACAAAGGTTGGGAGATGTTTTTAAACTGAAGTTCGGAGGCTCATAACCTATATGTCCAAGTTTAACAAACTTCCGGGTAAGTACCCAAAGAAAGGTGGATAACCTTCAAGTGAAAACCTTCAATTTGGATCAATTTGGAACCATTTGTTTGGATTGATGTCTTGCTGCCTCCTTCATGAGTTCGTGACAGAGACACTGAGGTTGGTCCAAAGTCCAGGATGAAAACAGGTGTTGCATGGTGTTGCTACTTTCTTTGAGATCTCTTTAAGGAGACAGGAGACTCGATGTGTTGGAGGTGTTCCTGTTTGGCTTGAACCTGTGAAGCAGAGATTTCGTCCAGGTGCACCATGCCTCCAAAGTTACCAAAACGAGCCCTATTTTGAATGAAAGGTCCGACAAAGCTTCCAGTTTCGCCAAAAGAACTGCCATGGGCCATACCGGCATACCCGAATATGCAAAAGGGATCGACATCGAATCAAACTCCTTGAGCTGTCCGGGAGTTTGCTAAGCATCAGGCATGAGGCCACGAAAGGAAAAGATCACCACGCACGCGGGGCCCGGGCCCGAAAGGAAGTGGTTCCGCTGGGGCCGCGATGCTTCCGCTTTCCGCGATCTTTCTTTTGGAGTTCGGCGGGTCCACCTGGCTAGTTCGAGGATGCAGAAGCCACGTCCCATTTGGTGACTAATCTTTATACATCGACGGGGTGGCTGGATTTCGGGAATCCATCTATCGCCAGAATCCAGGGACTGGGTACTTTTGATGACAGGAGATTTGACAAGAAGTCCTCACCATGGTGAGGGTTTTGATGTAATGCACGGAAGAGCAGTGAGTCAGAGATAGGTTTTCTCATGTGAAAACATTAGTTGTCCTTCATGTCCAGCGTGTGCTCCGCAGTGGATTACTCAGCTGGTGGACTCCTCTTCAACTGCAATCATGTGTTTTTTGTTGTGATTAAAGTAGGGTTCACTTACCAAAGTTCTATAAGACCATCGTGCCGTTGTTTGGGTAGTGAAACTACCAGGCACCATTCCACATGTTTTTACAAGAGACGGACTTTTGTTGAAGTGAACGACCATCACATTGTCACCACAGGCTGAACAGCCGAGCCAATCATTGTCACTGAGACACTCACTGTTTAGAATCAGATGTTATATTGAGATTTGTTGAGTATGTAATCTTGATGCATCATGCATCTTGATGCTAGTGAACCCATCAACATTGTTTGTATATATTGCATGCTTTAGACCTTTTTGGAAGCATTGGTACACCTCAAAATACACATGGCACTGTGGCACGCCTGCTTTTTCAATGAACCTTTTTCATCCTTTTTCACCGATCCTTCCTTTTCACCTGAAATCGATTCAACACCGACGTCGCGTGTGGCTCTGGTGCGTCCAGCGACTCCCAGCTGAAGCACCTCAGACCCGACGTCTTGGACGAGACCAACGTGCCGGAGCACCTCGCGAACGAGGTCCGTCATCGCCACCCGGCGATGCGGGTCCGACTGGGAGGGGAGGGGCGGGGAGAAGACGGGAGGGCGGGGAAGACTAGGGCGGGCGTTGGTGGCCGGGCGGAAGGTGGGTGTGGATGTGTCCAACAACGACTTAGCATCTTACTGTAACCAAAAAGATTCAAGAGAAAGAGAAAGGAACAAGACCTGAATTCTAAAGGCATTCCCAGTTGATACTGACAATAGGGAACTAGCTTCATTGGACCTCTTTAGACAAAGTCGCTATATGATACTGGCACCAAGATGCACCAAGAGAGTTGAAGACATGATGCATCCTTGGATGAGTTTCTGAGTTTCTGGGTAGCTGGATGCTGGCCAACTTGACCTCAAAGGAATCAGTCAAACCGACGTGAACGACGCCGCTCCGCACATGCCGGAGATCCATGCGGATCCGCAGAACCGGACAAAAGCTTTTGGTCACAGGACGCATGGTCCCTGTCCTTTCCCATTCACATCCTCATCCCAATCCGAAGCATGGACCGTCCATGGGCCAGTGATGGATTGGGACCGAAAAGACACGTAGAAGGTCGATGTCAAGGCACTGCCCACCAACATGTGAAAGGCATGCAGCCCATGAACTAGTTACACCTGTTGTGTACATGTGAATATGTGTGTATCTCATGTTTAAGTGGAAGTAAATCTGTGATCAATATCACTTATAGGTCTGGTGCCACCTCTTGCAGTATATCAAGTCTCTCGCATGTTCAGTGAGACGTTGCATATGCACATACTGTACCCTTTCTCATCCTTTCTCCAAACATGAAAGCGGCAACCACTTCTTCCCCGCTTCTTCCGTAAAAGCAGGTTTTCCCAATACCAGATCCTCCGCTTCCGTTTTCTCGGATCCAGTCAGAGGTGTTTCACCCATTTTCACCCCAGAGCCTTCCTACCCATGCCTTCGCCCACACCACAACCCCGCCTCACCGTCACCGTGAATCCAAGGCCTCGACGCCTCACGGAGCGCCATGATGCTCCGGCTACTGCGGCAAGTGCCTCAGGAGGCACTGTCGCAGGCGGAGAACGACCGAAGCGAAAACCGCGCGGCGACAAAAAGTTGGGAAATTGGTGGGTGACATGCTTGAGGACCCGTCGACGGGATTTTTGGGGCGCGTCAGGTGGCTGCAGGTCGTCCAAGCAGGATCTCCTTGGCTCGTGTGGAGCTTGCATGACCTCCCAGTAGATCAACAGGTCGGTGATGGTCTGTTGGGTGCCATGATCCATTGCCATATATATGTTCGGGAAGGTGTGGCGTTTGCAGTTGGGAGAATGATATATGCCCGGGTACTTGGGCCGAAAACGACCATGGTTTGAGTAACATGTGCATGGTCAGAGTCTGACTACCCTCTACCAATGGTCAAAAAACCTGTCAAAGACCCACTCGTGTTCGCCATGTTCATTTGAGCATTCCGGTTTGAACAACCACCTCCATTGAACCATTCTCTCATCCATGTTGCACGCGCAGGATGTCACAATTCTTTGAATGAAGAACCCACGGCTGACATACTGCCCGGGAAAAGTACTTCTTTGGAGCCGATTCACTGAAAGGCTCATAGGTAATCACTAAATTGCTATAGCTACTTGTACTCTTAGGTCAGAAGCGAGTTCCTTTCCACCAAACAGATTCCGGATTCGCGTCTCACATGCCCCGGACGCTTTTGTCCGGTGCTGGACAGGAGCTGAAAGATGTGGGCGTGAGTTGCGAGGGCCTCGACAAGGAGGGGCTCGTTCAGGCCATGGTGCAACAGCTCTCGTAAGATGACGTCCCGCGGCTACCGCGCCACGTCGCCGCGCCACGTCGCTTTGGGCGTGGAAGAGAGTGTTCTTAGTCTGACCAAAGGGGAGCCACGGTCTACCTTCCTGCTGATTCCTGCATGGTCTTTCTTTTTTGTGAGAGGGGATTTGCTAAGGGATAGAAGTATATTGCCACTATCACAGCTCTCGAAGATTACAGCAAAGGTTCAGTTCTCTTAGACTCACCTTAGCCCTTCTGTTGCCCATTGCGCCGAGGAAGGAGGGTCGTCACATCATCCACATCACATATCAAGAAACGTGTCTATACAGGTCCAGCCTGAACCAGGTCAAACCTGGTCCAAGATACTTCATTGAGCAGTGTTTTTGTATGATCAACTCCAGTGAAATGAGGTCAGTTCCTTTCTCCGTCGTAGGGAGTAAGATTCGACCTTGGAGGGTTTGAACCTGGACAGCATCCACACATTGGAATTTCAGTTGTCCTGGATAGCATCTCCTACACCAGGATCTTCTCCAACAGCAAGCGTGGAATAGGAACTGCGGTAGGAAAGCGTAGCAATAAGAACTGCGAATGGCCAGTTTCAAGGGTGTTGGAGTGTGCAGACTCAGTAGACTATGGCTCAAGATCAGATAGGCAGCTATCGGCTCTATTTTTGTGCGTTGTGGACGCCATCCTGCGAAGCAGATGAGCTGCATCGTGCAGAAAGGCAAGCTGCGGTACTGTGCTGCAACACATGGCCAAGAACCCAACAAACAACCCAAGTCATCCATCCCCTTCATAGAAGATCCCATGTCAGAATCGAGTTGACCAGACCTTTTTCCTTGAGGGTTTGCCGATTGGTTTGTTGAGGAATTCGTCCTCCTGGGCGGTTGAGCAGCGCCACTCTCGGCTGTCGGTTGGTGGAACAAGTAGATGAAGACTGGTGAGGCCCTAGCGGCCCTAGCCCCACTGCCAATCTCGCGAAATCCAAACCCATCGAGGAGCTGGTAGGTGGTCTAAGCAGCTTGCCTGAAGAGTCCTCTCCAGGGTGGCGGAAAATGGCAAAGCGCGACTTCTAGAACCTATTCTTCTGCCACAAAGTACGCCTCATGCCGCGTTTTGAGAAGTAAACAACCTAACCCTCCTGAAAAACGGCGGAGGCCCCCTCAGTTCACTCAGATGACTCTCAGATTTCTGAGTACCCAGTTGATCTCAGAGCCACCCTGAGGGATGCATTGATTTTTCAACTTTTTAGACCTGGAGAGGCCGTTCCCAGCGGGGGTGGGCACAAGCCGGCGGCTTCAAGCCATGCTTTAGTAAGAACAGCTGGAGTCATGAGTGTGACAGATGATGCGACATCAGCTCTTGTCGCCATGTTTGTGGGGGAAGACTGCGGCTGCGTCGGCACTTTTTCCTATAGCTGCTTAAGTGTTTTTGGCACCTCTTGCAGGGGGATTAGGATTGGTTTCTCTCTACCTGGCAAGAATTGTGGCGGTCACAAAGGGATCACGAAACCTTTCCGGGGCACAAAAACCTGAAAAAAAGGGCCCCACCACCCCTAGGCACCTGCCAACTTGAGGCTAGGCAGTTAGCAGAGCCTCTAAGATCCTTACTTTAGAAAACAATTCATGCATCAACGACCTCCGGCTTTGCCTCACAGCTGGACGCCCCATCCTCGCGGGCGTTCTCACGCGGGGTAGCGCGTGCGTGAGCGGGCGCCGAAGGCCCCCCCCCCGGGGCAAAGCACCGGTAGCGTGGCGTGTGAAACCTCCGAAGGCCTGCCAAAGGCGATATGGCTGGCTCATAGGGTCTACAAGGTTCCAGAAGTGCCTGAGGAAATTCAGCAAGTCTGTAAGTGGCCAAGTGTTCAAGTGGATCACACTTGTTCTTTCAAGCTTCCATCCTGACCTAGAGGCCTAAGATGGCCTAAGGTGGCCTGCTTCTGGGATGGATTCGTATAGAGGATAGCTCCACTGATACCATCTGATACCTTGATACAAGTAGATATCGATACCCCTGGCCCTTGAGGATCTAAATCCAAGGTCCGACCGTCCGTGGACCCTGTGACGTGTCGAATCTTTTCCTTCGTCGACCCGAAGGGTCGCCTTGGAAAAAGGACGAAGCATGGAGAAGTCGTAGAGGAGACGGGAATGGGAGCCCCCCAGGTCGACCCTCTGAGAATATATCCAAAAGCAGACTAAAAGCAGACTGGTTGGGAGGTGCCCCTAAGCAGACGACACCCAGATGAACTGTTGGGGATTTCTGGTGGAGAGGAAAAGGGACCAGTCACAGAGTGGCAAGACACTTGCCACCAGAGCACCTCGTCTAAGACCATACCGTATTCCCAGACGATCCATGGAATAGTCACTGACATTGACCCCATGAACATGACCCCAATGAAGGTACGTAACTGTTCCATAGATGGAGTGTTTGGGATATGTCAATGTTGTGGACTAAGCGATTCAAATCAAAAGCGTAACCACGCTCGACGTCTCCGACGTTCTCCCCCCCTCGTCACACGAACCTTCGTGCGCCAGAAACACACGCGCAGTAGTTGCGCCACACGAACCCTGTAGAGCGGCGTCTGTGACTCTCAGTTTCGGTGTTTGGGGTGGACCGGTCGGTCCCTACCTTGTGAGGTCGCTGGAGCCTATCTCGGGCTCCAACTGTTTAACGAGTCCTTAGTCCTTAGGTGTTGCAGCAGCGCCATCTAGTCGCAACTCCCGATTCTTGGGAATCCTAAGGTGTTTGATTTAATGGCATCCAGACTGGCGTGCATCGTTGGGAACCGAGGGATTTGAGCTTGATCTGTGTTTTCACCGCCCAAGACCACCTGAGACGCCCAGAACCCGAAGCGAAGCGATCCTTGGGAAAGTAGAAGCATGAGATGAGTCATCAGCGAGATCCTTGGAACCTTGTTGTTTTTAGAGGGTTGATCAGATCGACTTCAAACAAGCGGTTTGGATTGTAACACCGCAACACACCTTCATACAGGGAGGGTTTTGTAATGGTCAACAAGTGTACATTGCTACATTATAGGGCATGGACCGGTGCTGATTCACTGATTGCTTTCTCCCATGCACATGGCTTTCCAAAAAAGGACACGCCCCTGGTTGTTCCTCTCTTTGGCTGCAGTGGGCGGGTAGATTAGAGGGGAGCTGTGACCCCTGGGCGCGCCGCGCGCGTCGCGTATGGGGCTGAGTCTGCTGAGTTGAAGCTTGTGCTGATGAGTTGGGAGGGATTTGTGACAAAACAACAGAAAGATAAATAAAGGGCTTGGTTTCTTTCCAAAGAACAGCTCTTGAAGCAACCCATGCCTTTGTTACAAGGTGAGCCTTGGAAACTCCTCAAGTTCGGTAGCAACCACTTCAACAAGTCTTAACTGGTCTTGTGGGCATTTCCTAAGGCCCCCTTTGTGATGCTAAGGCAGTGCTTTGGCCCTTGGGAAGGCCGCCGCGTCGTACACGACGCGGCGGTTAGAGGCCCGGCACAGGCCCGGCGCAGCTGGCGGCAGCGAGACTGGTTTTATGATGTTTTATGTAAGAATCCGCCCGTTTGCGGGACTGGTTTACACCGAAGTATACTCATGGGCTGATTGATTAGCCTTTGACTTTACCGGACAACATCGAGCAACCATGGTTTTACCATAGGATTTTGTGAGGTACAAGAACCCTGGAACAAACCGTGTCAAAAGGACCAGGTTAAAACCAGGCGAACGGGGCCGAAGGTGCCATGGAGATGATGTAGCTTTTCGTGTCAGTGACCGACTCCAGTCGACTCTTTGCTGTCGACTGGACAAGAGAGGAGGACGAAACTAGTCGACTGAAGTGGACCCGACTCGGACTCAGCTAGACTCTTAACTCCAGGACTCAGCTCCGACTCAGCGGCTGACTCTCCCACAGATGCTCCAGACCTTCAGTTGCTCCTGGACCCTTCCGGCTCGGCCGCCCCGTGGCGCTCTACTGGAGCGGGGCGAGCGTCGGAGTTCATGCGCGCAGGCCATGTCGATGACGGCCTCGAAAGCGGCGGAGCTCATGCGCCGGGCCAGGGCACTCGGTGAAGCAGGGGTGAAAGGAACATTGGTGGGAAGAGATTATATATATGGGAAGATTCCGGGAGATCCTTTTTAGGATTCATTTAAATAGCATTTGGGAGTGTTGGCAGACTTTTCTATGAATTTCTGCTGTTCCCAGATGGACCTCAGGAACCACATGTGGCCGCTTTTTCACATGGCACTAGGCCAGGTCCTGCCTTCCGCGTGCGAAATCGTTGGATCGTTGAGGCGGGAGCAGATCTTCCGGCTCCCAAAGGCCACCGCACGTGCGGTGCGCGCGCGCGGAGTCATCAGTGCTGTCCAAGAATGTCCAAGAAGCGATTTAGATGGAGCGATTGGATTGCAGACTGAGAAGAAGTCCGTTCTGAGGTTGCTCAGAATCAGTCTAGTCTTACTTGTAGAAGCAGTCTTGTCCACTCATCCTACATAAACGATATGATCTTTGCAGTCCATTTTTCAAATTCTTCCAGTTCCATGTTGATGGTTGATTTGGAGTCCCATCTTCCGGCCGTGGATGTCGATGGTTGCACGGAACCGGAACCGGCACCCGAAACCGTTCGTACGTCCCTTCGGTCCTCCGTTCAGCTCCATGGAACTGTGGCCGAGAGCGGCTGGGAACGTTTGGTGCACATCGCGGGACACAAACATGCATGTAATAAATATACCAGCGACTCTCATGATATGTGCACCCGTGATCCAGGACAAGGCTCCCCTGAAGCAATTCTCTCAGAGATGTCCTTCTCCAAAGGGCCGGACCGGATGTTTGTTTCCAAGAAGACCGGGCAACCGCCAGACCGCCAGGCGTGCAGAGCACCGCCATTGTGCCCGCAGGCGGAGCGAGAGTTTGGAGCGCTGCCTGGTGACCGACGAGCTTGAGGGTCACCCTGGTTTTGCTTAAGGTGTGATTGTAGTGGTGGTGATTGTCTATTTTCGCTATGGGTTAAATCCCCTTCTCGGTTCCTTAAGCAAGGAATCACGCAGGAGTTTATAAGCCCCCAAGCCAGCAGGGTTTGGTTTGGGTTTGACTTGGGTCGGTTCACACTTTCGATCACATCCTTGAATGTTTCTGATTGATTCTGGTGGGAAGGGAACACACATCAAGGTCTGCTTTGGACGGCCTTTTGGACTTCGAAGACCCCACATCCCGTGCAGATGGTCAACAGAACACAATGATCTCAGTGACCTCTTCCGTCCGATCATGGAGGATGCGGTTTGTCATGGTTTGTCCAAACTAAACCAATGAGTACAGGCAGAAGGAGTGGCAGAAGGAGTTGCAAAAGGGTGGAGAGTGGATTGCTATACCCTCACCATCCATGAGACTGGAATAGTTATTTTATGTTGTTTTAACTCAGGGGTCATTGTCGTAAATGAGCTGCACAATTATATGTTGGGTCTGTCCTATTACCTGTAACAGTCAGTAAACAATGATCACTCTTTTTGAACAAGGCCTGCAACTGAACCATCATCCACTTGGCCCTGGTAGGATAGACCATGGTCTGGTCTGGTTTGAGAGAGGCGGCGAGGGATAGGACCAATTGACTTCTCCATTTGCAGGAGGCGATGAGGCGCAGCGCAGAACTCTGAGCGGGGGGAGCGCGGCGACTTCCGCGAAGCAACCGGTCTCACCAGCTTCCTAGCATTTCCTAACTACCCTCACCTTCGAAAACCTTAAAAAATTTCGGGTCTGTGTCGAAACCTTAGGTTTGCACACTAACAGCTTGCAAACATCGGGTTTTCCAGCGAAACCTCGGGTTTTGCTTGATTTTAGGTGCAAAGGGCCAAGTGTTGAAGGAAGTGAAGCTGCACACATTGAGATCAAGCATACCCGTGACTGTCATGGCGGCCACCACTTGGCAAGTGAGCCATGAGTTCAGAGGGGTGTTGATAGAATACTATATGGACATGATCGAACATCATGTTTTCTATCCAAACTGAAAGGAAGACTGAAAGGACACGTCGTCTATATAAATCCTGCAGGTGTCCCCGAGAGGCTTCACCGGACACCTTCGCTGCGCCGGCACCAGGATGAGGAATGGGCCGAAGGCGATGGCGAGTGGGACTACGAGGAGGCCTTAGGGAACTGCTGCGTCCTGAAAGCCTGCGTGCGGTGTGGAGCACGGTTGACCATCCGTGCAAGCTGGTGTTCACGACATGTGTGAGCCGATCTAACAGCAGTCATGTTGTTTTCTTGGTGCCCCTCGTCTTGAGAATGACATGTTCTCTGCAGGCTTTTCGGGTTCAGCCCAACACAACGTCTGGATCCCGCAGACCAGATCCCCAATGGCTGCCTTAGTCTTTCTCGAAGTCGAAGCCAATCCAGGCTTCGACCTTAGTCTAAAAGGTCGGTTCAAAGTCCGCAAGGTCGGTCAGTGTCCTACGGTCGGACCCGACTCGTTCGGGGTGTCTACATGCAAATAGCCCCAACGAGCTGTGATGCGGGGACACCCAGAGCAAACCACCCCGACTGGGGGTCCACTGGTATCTTGGTGCCTATGACCTGTCACAGAATGGCCGCTTTAATTAACCATCATCGTCCACTGTTGCTGGCAATAGGATAGACCCAAGCTATATCCATGGGCTTCGCAACGCACTGCGGCCAATCTTCGCGTGATGGGAGCCTGTGCTGGGTTCGCCTGTGACAGCAACGCACAGCAACGAACCCCAACAGCCGACGAAGCAACGATCATGGTGCGTGTTTGGACGCTGCAGAGTCTCAGCGGCTATGAGGCTGCGCTGATGCTTGGCGAATAGATTTTACGAAGTTCTACTAGTAACAAGTGCCTTACTAGTAGCAACAAGAAGCTATTAGAAACAAGTGCATCGCTACCAGGAACAAGTGCCTTACTAGGAGTAACAAGAAGCTATTAATTTAACATATATTTAACTTAATTCTAATATAGCTTTTTGTTACTACTAGTAAGGCACCTGTTACTACTAGCGTGGCACTTGTTACTAGTAGTAACAAGATAGAACAGATGGGTCGGCGGTTTATTCACACGTCACTTGCCTTGGGTCCGCTCCCTCCCTCCCTCCCTTCCTCTCTCTCTCTCTCTCCCTTTAGAAAAGGGTAATGTTTTGCTTTGTTTTTTTTGGGGGATGGGTTTCTTGGCGAATAAGGATTATCGCTACCTACCAAGTGGATCACCTGCAGAAACCTTAGTTGGGGAAAAAATAAAGGACAAACACCACAGACCAACCAAGTTGGACGGTTCGGTTGGAACTTCGCTTTGAAGCCCAACAAGAATCCACCACAGTCGGGCGAACGACGCGCTGCCGTCTTTGGGTCCGACTCGCGAACCGACGCGAATACTCCGCGCCTGAGGAAGGCCGGCGCCGTGCGAGCGTCGCCCAAGCATTTGGAGAACGGCGACTTTTGCAATGAGGCGCGGTGGCGCCGGCCGCACAGCACAGGGATCGGTGACGTGGCGCGAACGTGACGCCGCGGCCTTGGGGGGGTGGCCACGCGGATGGGAAGTCGGAGCCCCTTGAGTTTAGAGACCGCATGGAGACGTCCAAGCCGGAAATAGGAACGGCTCTCGGAGTCAGAACATCACAGGATGTGGGCAATCCAAGGAACCAGGAGAACCAACAATGTATGTGAACCATCCAAAATACATCTCTATAATCATCTCCCAATATTGGCAGGGAACTCACTTTTCTTATTTAGGAATCATAAATATCTATTGTTTGTCATATATCATGAATCACACACAAACCATGAATCCACGACCAGGACTCGTATGGATTCATGTCCCACGAGCTCCAGCCCTTTGGCGAAACCGGTGCAGCGGGAGCCGTGCAGTGCAGTGCCCCGGATCGATCGGGACCAGTCGAGTTTCAGCAGCCAGGACGGGGTGTTTGACGGGTGTGTCTTGTTCTTGTTGTTGTTGTCGTTGTTGTTGTTGTTCTTTCTTTTTTTTGGGGGGGGCGTGTTTTTTGGGGTGACAAGTCACTATAGTTATCAAGATGTCCGGAAAAAATGCAAGCGGGCGTGCTGGCAGGGTGGCAGGGTTGGTTCTCGGCTCCGGAGGTCGAGAGTGTCGACGAGACGTCGTCCGCGTGTGCGCTGGATGTCCCCCAAACTGGGCTCCATGTGAGCTGCCGATGGGATCCAGGCAGGCCTTGGAGAGGATGGTGAGGTTCCAGAAGTTAGTGGAAAAAGAGACAGGGTTGGGATCCATGATCTCAAGATACATATAATTATAGGTGCATATAATTAGATACATATGGTGATGATAGGCAAGGCTGCTGGCCTCACCATGAATCTACCCCAATTTCTCGTGCCACTTCCCTGTGTGTGATTCATTTTGTGCCTTTCCTGATGATTTGTATCATCAATCAGGCATAGTATTGTCAAACACTCACATAGGACCATCTTGAACATGGTCATGTTCAGTGCATGGTGCCGTTTGAACCAAAATCAGATCGTCTTCTCTGCGAATGTGACTCTGGAACCGACATGATGTGGTGGAACCGGCCGTTTCTAGCATATTATACTTAGTGGCCAGAAAGATTGAAGAGGACATCACACGGTGACTATGACAGACGGTGACTATCACAAGCTGACTACTGCACCTTCCTTCGAAGATCTTCACCATCTTCTACCTTCTCATCTCCGTGCCCTGCTCGCTCACGTGTTCCTGCCTTCTCGGCCGTCAGTGCCGTGCCGCTGTTGGCACGGCCCAGGAAGCGCGTGGGGCCGTGCCCAGCGGAGGTCTCCCAGTCCTGGCTCGAGCGCGGAGGCGGACACGGGGTCGGGGTCGAAGCATCGAGATCGATCCAAGTAATCCAAGTAGATCAGAGGAAGGGGGGTGATCGTAGCTACCTGGTAGGACTCAACATGTGGACTCATGTGCACTCTAGCTTGACTCATACATCTTGACTCTTGATTCATCAAACGTCCAATAGAATTCGAGAGAAACTGTTTTACAATGCTTTTCACATCCACATGGAAAGGGTATATCAAGCAAACGAGTCTTCATGGCCTGAGTGGGTGTTCCAACTCTGCAAAGTTTCTGCCTTTTCATCGATGAATTCCTGCCCAAAAAGCAGACATGTTGCATAGTTGGAAGAGTTCGATCTCAAATTTGCCGTTCTCAGGCTCCGGGCTGCCGGCTCCAGTCTGGGTGTGGCAACAGTTCCGCAGTCGCGCGCAGCCCGAGCCGCTTGGCTTCTCGTGCGGAGCTGTTCCGCGTCGCCGTGCCGCACGACCTCACAACGTCGCAGGGCGTGGCAGAGCGATCGGGATCAAAGAACTCAATGGCCCAGACACGACCTGTCTGGGACTGCCATAGGACTGCCGATCAGGCCAGGGGTCGTTTGGGGGGGTCTGTCTGGGGCGGCAGTCCTATGGCAGTCCCATGGAGTGTTTGGGTGGATGTGTGTGTATTTGGGTCTGTCCCAGGAAACAATGTAACAGTCGGTAAACAAAAGCATCACTCTTCTGGAACAATGCCAACTGAACCATCAGGATCATCATCGTCCACTGCTAATGGAATATACTTTAGGTGTGGATTTTAATATTAACCCCCCTGGCCCGTTGGGTAGACTGGTTTGTTTCCTGAACCTTCCAGGGGCTCGTTGCGAAAAAAGAGGTCTCGCCAATTCTAGTACCACCCCACAACCTTTTGATAGCTGAGACACCAGGATGTTCAATCTTGGGACTCAAGAAGTTGAACATAGATCGACCGCCGATCATCGGCCAAGTCTTCTACATCAACCACCATCTCACCATACACTCTATATCTCTGCCCTTCTGGATTGTTTTTGGGTCGTTGTGCGTTTTTCTTGCGCCGGAACGGAGTTGAGGGATTCTATTGCTGCTGAGTTCTGGGGCCGCCCCATTCGATGGACAGAAGAAACCTTTGATGGTCAACGCCCTCGCTTGACTGGAGCTGATGATATAAACACATATAAAAACACTACTCAATGAGGTGTTCAGGACCAGGTTTGGACCTGGGTCGGACTGGACATCCATAGGGTAGGCTTTTTCATTACAAAGGCTGAACCAGACTTACCAGTCACATACTCACATCATCCTCCGTGTGAGGTATGTTCCGGAACCTTGGGTCTGCGGAGAACGCGCGGTGTTGCTTGAGGCGCCGGAAAGCGGTTCAGGGGAGCTTCCATGGAGCCTTGCAGTTCGATAGATTCACACCACGGGAATTGCAGCAAATCGGGCCAAATCCGGCTCTGTCACGAGGGGCCCCCGAGCCAGGAGGGGTGTCTAGTAATAGCCCCCTGGGCCAGAGGTGACAGAGGGGTGTCCATCAACCACCCCTTAAGAGGCCCTGGTATGTTTTGAACTGTTCATGATGTGGTTTGTTTTGGTAAGTCTTTGCATGCAGTCAAAGACTTAAGGAAGAAGATGGAACAATCTGAAGCCGAATTCAATGGATGTTTCGAATTCCCAGACACTCCATGTTTTTCCATATTTGCCTACAATGGGGTCGTTTGGGGGTCAATGTAGGCATATATGGCATGCACGGAGTGTTTAGAATTGTTTAGATATTTCCAGAAATTGCCCGATGGTTCAGCCAGCTCCCAAAACGGGTTCTTTCTTCAGACATCAGCCTCCTTAAAACGGTGTGATCCTTTCTGTTGTTGGAGGCATCAAAGAAGACAGACCTTGGGCATTTTTTTGTTGGCTGATGGTATATCGATTGTGTTCTTTGGGGTGTTGCATTTTTTGCTGAGATGTGTTCCGAACAGTAAACATGATTGGAATGTGGATCTCATGTGATTTTCTTACATGTGTCGAACTGTTCTGAGCATATTTCTTGGGCAGGCGGCAACGACTTAGTTGGTGGTGTATGTGCAGGGACACCTTGGCTTGAGAGGAGTTCAATAAACACTGGCAGCGTGATGTAGTGGTTCCCCCATGCGGTCAGCGGCATGGGTGTCACCAGTGCTTGTCGTTGGTTTTGCAAAGCCATGGGGCATATGGCTGAAAAGTTGAGTACCCCCCAAAAAACATCGTATAACGTCGTGGTCTATGGAAGACATGACCTCGCCAGCTACGGATGTTGGAGTCTTATTGTTGTCAAGCCACATCGGCAACTCAGTGACC